ATAAATGAAACTTGTATGTTTTGGATACTTACTAAAACAATATATGAAAGTGGCCACTTTTATGAGTAAATCATATAAGCCTAATATGATTTACAATATGAAGGCCACATCTGATGCAAGACTTTTATAAGTTTTTTCTATTTCTTTTTCATATGGGACAGAAAGCCCAAATGTGTAGATTAAAGCCATGTTGACTGTTTCTGAAGAGAGAGTGGTTTTTGAATGAGTCAACAGAAGCCTGAAGAGATGTGTTTGGAGCCAACAGCATGGCTTCACTCTGATTTCAGCCTCCAGCCACCATAGTTCCCTCTCGGCTGCACACATGTAGGTTAGTTTGATGCAGAGGAAACCTTCACCAAACTGTAAGACCACACAGAGGGATTTCATCAGGCTAGGGGCAGCACTTTACTGAACACCTGTGTGACGTGTTTGTGGCCTTAACTCAGCACCCACAAAGACAAGTGTAGACTGTGTCAGGTACTCAGGCAGAGGTCATCATTCAGAGAGGCTTCAGGAAGACGAAGAACTTGAAGAAGAAATGTTTGTGGACAGCTGTTGTTACAGATGTTACTTTTATTTCCAGACACATATTTCATTACACTGCTGAGCGCTGTTAAGTTTACAAATAGATCAGCAAATTTACAACCTTCCTCACCGTCACCTTTGTCCTCATTTTACTCTTTCCCAACACACGGTCGTACCAGCACAAAGCCCTGTTCAGTCATCTTCAACACCAATGTAAAATCAGACATCCATCCTGAACAAACAGTTCTTTGTTTTCAAATACAATTAGTAATGAATGAATTGTTATGAATCAGATATCATGGTGTTCCACAGGGATCGATCATTGGACTTAAATTTAAAAAACTTAAATTTTACACTTGCGTCAGTGATTTGTTTTAATTTTAGTTTTTGCTGAGGATACCATCCTATTCCTTGGAGATAACCACATTTATACAGGAAGGAAATTAAGTACAAATGTGAAAGATAAACTTGCCTGCCAACATTAACAGAAGTTACTGTAAATATTGCATTGTGACATTTCTGACATTCATTTCAAATATTTTTCTCCCAAAATTTGAATTCTTCTACCATTAAACAGATAATTTTGTGATTTGTGTGCTGCTGAAATCGAATGTTTTCATGTTGATGGTGCTTGTAAAACAGGGGAACATCAAGCCTGCCAGAGATCATCTTCTGGGGATCATGAAAAGTTACAGTAAAGTTATGGAAATTGATTTTAATATTTTGTTATTTATAAAGTTCTGCACTATCTCAACACTAGCACTTTAATTCTGAAATAAAACCTGAAGCTTCAGCAGCACTAAGGCAGTGGAGGGATGAACTGCCCCTCTGGGGACCATGGATTATCACACTGCTAATGAAACACTCAGGATCCCGATGTGCAGGGCATCATGAACAGCCAGCGTTACGTTAACACTGAGTTAATGAAAATCACATTTTAATTCACATTTTAAGCGAAAAAAGGTGTCTGGATGATGCCGATGAGAAACTCCAGGGAAAAATGCTCCTGGAATAAAAGTAGATGAACAAAGCAACATGATTACGGGACAAGAGGAAGGCCGAGGTGATTAGAAATATATGACTTCATCGTCCAATTTCAGACACAAAAACAAATCTGTCCTAATAATGATACTGCTGAAAGCCCAAGGGGAAATATCACAATGTTTACAACAAATTTAATAGCAATCTCACTGATTTGGACAATTGTGTAATGACCCTTCACAGACACGGTAATACGTTTTCCTGACCGCTAGCAGGGATGACAGTAATAATCACACTAAAGTAAGGACGCACCAGCGCCTCTGGAACTGATCTCAGGTTTTCCAGCCCACGGATGGCACAAAGTGACGACTACCTCGAGCTTCAACTGGTGACAACCTTGCAGCACAACAGTTCATGTTCTGCATCCTGGTAGCTTCTATGAAACATAAAAAATACCCCACAGAGTGGCCAGAGGTACTGTACACACTGAGAACCCCACACACACTCACATATTAAACACATTAAGGGAAGCAAACGCAGGAGGAAGTGATCCAAATGTTACAAACAGCTGTATGCCATCCACCTGTCAGTCAGAAGCCACGCCCCTAATAATGTAAACTTTAATACAATTTAAACAGGTGAATCATAAAGAGTGATTATGAAGGGGAAATTATCTATAGAGACCAAACAGTTTGTGTATCAGGCTGTACATGTGTTTTTTTGGGCTGACTGCAGAAGAACCTGAGCCAGTCTGCTGGAAACAGTGACCCTGCCCTTTAACACGCTAACACTAGTGACAAATCCTTTCCTTGAATTATTGATGTTTTCAGTCACCTAGTTCTCCTGGAACTTTGATTTTCTCAGAAGGGAGTTTTTCTTCCCCACTGTTGCCGAGAGCTTCTGTCTAATTGCAGGGTCTTACAGTATAAACACCCCTGAGGCGACTGCTCTTGGATAGTTGAAGCAGTTTTACATGTTTTTTGTGTTATTAGGCTTAAAAGAGAAAGCCTAAAACCTACAGTGAAATGAAATCAACCAACTTGTAGGGACAATAGAGGAAAAAGCTCCTCGAGGTGAGCTAGTGATAAGTTCAGCTTTTCTCCATTCTAAGTGACTGAAGCCGCTACCAGAGGAAGTGATGACAGCCTGATAGCATCGCCTGCTAACATGGTGCCAAAGAAGTGCACTTGATGTCTGGAAGCTAATCCAAATCCAAAAGAAATGTGGTCTACTTAGAAACACGGTGGCTCTGAAGCAGGTACCACTTCATATGATCGTATTTGAACCGCTGATGATAAGAAGCAGCGTAAGAACACAAACAACTTTTATGCTCTGACCTGAAGAGTCTTTGTCAACAGCCCCAAGAGCTGCCAGGACAGAGGATGGTTTCATACAGGTATGAATATAGTTGAGTCTTTGGTGCATCTTGGAGACGGTACATTTGAAACCAGAAACTCCGCAGACATAAAGCTGCTGTGAATATGTCAGGTGTCAGCTGCCACCCAGCTGCCTGAGACTCTGCAGCTGTAACGGGTGGTGGGAGTCACTTTTTCTGATAGTGCAAGCATAGCTGGTGATCATCCAGAAACTGTGTGAGGAAGCTCAGTAGCTATAAAACAGAGACTCTGGGAGTAAGCAGGGAGTAAACCTTTTCCCTGCCCATTCTGCTCTTAATCACCTATTTTAACCGCCCGCTGCGTGTGTGAAGAAGTACAACTCAAATCTCCAAATCTTCTAATGAGCAAGTGAATGTAGGTCCGACTTTCATCACAAAGGACAGACTTTTATTTGTTCCCCTAACCCAAACCAACAGGATCCAAAAACCCATTGGTTTGGGTTCGAAAAAATGCAGTGAAGCGGCGAGCACTGACAAGAAGTCTGGTGGGACACAACCCAACAACTGTGCTTCGCCCCAGACTTCTCACTGTCATTTCTAACCTGAGTCCGTCTGTGCTGAACAGAGTGGCTCGTCTTTGTGTAGCAGACATGACTCGATGGGCAGGTCTCTGGTTCTATCCTTATAGAAAAACCAGTTCTGCAGATTTATCGCTGTTGTGCAGAAATGATGTCACTCTTTATTGAGGAATTTCTGTTTCAGGCCGCTGAGGTTCAGGCTGGACTGTGTGACTGAAGACACCAACATGTTTTTTTGCCGTATTATTAGGAGCAGCTTGCATTTAATTGCCAACCTGACCTGTTCAGTCACAGAAGGACAGCAGGCTGTATTGCTGTGTTGGTGCTCCAAAGTTGCTCCAAAGTTGGATCTGATTGTGAGCGGTCACAGCATTGTTCCCCGTCTCAGCGCGCTGATCTCTACAACTTTGGTGGGTCTGTGTCCACCACCACTGTCTGCCCTGCTGTAACTGCAGCACCAGCAGCACCCATTTAAACTGAGACTGTGTTAAACTGACAGGGGCTTGGTGGTCTAATACCATGATAACAGCTGTAGCTTTGTTAGCAATACACCTACAACCAATCAAGACAAGAGGAGGAAAAAACCTAAAACTCCCAAATTTTGTTTGGTTGAGAGTACACACACATCGCTGTGTGTCCTGCAGCTGAGTCCTTCTTCCTTTGTTTGCTTCCACATGTCTGTACATCCACATTCAGCCACCGACACTCATGCACAAACACACACACACACACACACACACACACACTCACACAATTTTACACTTACATTTGTGAAATATACACTCTTTTTTCATATTCCACATTAAATGAAGTTTTTACAGAATGTTGACAACAAAATGAAGAGAAAGACCTGCGAAAAGCACACTGGTGTACAGCATGAGTGTTTGTGTCCTTGTGGGGACCCTGTTTGCCCGCTAACGAGGTCTAAGGGGAGGGTTACAGCGTGTGCGTTTGAATGTATGCAGTATAGCTTTCTTGCCACCAGAGAGGTCCAGGGAAGTGATAAATTGAGCTGACAAACACAGAGGAATGATCCGTCCCATCTGTCCAGCTCTGTCGTCTCTCTCACCATCGCGCTGCCAACTTTAAGACTTGTTCTCCGTGTTTGTGTGTGTGTTTGTGTGCGTGTGTGTGCAGTTCCAAGCTTGAGCCAAAGTCCCTGTGTTTCTGAGCCCAGCTGTCTCGGATCCCAGAAAGCTGGAGGCAGTGAGTCTGAGCCGGGCTGCACACAAACTCTGCAGACACCGAGCTTTGGAAACGAAGTCAATGTGATCGAAAATCCCAGGAGTCTCTCTGTGTCTGCCTCTCTCATTCTCACCCTCGCTCAAACACACAACACACCCTCTCACGGTGTGTGTGCACTGTGTGTGTGGTGCAGAGAGCTGGCTAATCCGAACGTCCTCCAGAATAACTTCCCTCCTCCTCTGAAAGGCAGTTGTTGATGCTGGACGTCTGCTGGCTGACATTTAGTGTGTGTGTGTGTGTGTGTGTGTGTGTGTGTGTGTGTG